ATACTATAAAGCAGTACTAGTCTTTCTGTTATCATTTGTTGCTCACGAATTTGTTGGAAACTATAAATGATATCTTGATAAGCATGGAGTATTCTTTATGTTGCAGTTATTATTTTCTTGGAACTTTGGTGTTTTTGTATCTTGTTTTGCCCATATTCTTTCTGTGTATCAAGTCCAGTCCACATACTGTTCTTGCTACCTTAATAGTGGTAATCGCTATAGCCATGGTGCTTCTAAGGCTGGTGTTCTATTAGGTATTTTGCATAGAACATCTGATGCTCTGTCCAGAATAATATTATTGTGGTTTATGGTTGGTGGCTATACTAATCAGCCTTAGAAAGAGGCTTAGGGTGCAAATGGGTCTCTCTTTGTGCTTATGGTATAGATTTTTGTTTCAAAATAGCAATGTGGATATCTATTGTTATCTGCTTGTAAGGTTGTGGTGTAGAGATACAAAAGTGGAGGTCTTTGTTTAGGACTGGAGTGGAAGTTCGGATAACTTGCTCATTTTTTATTTCATTATTCACAAGAGTTGTGACTTTTCTTAAGCTCCTTATTTATTATTTCTGCGTGAACCCTGTTTGATTATAAACTGGACAAGGCTATTTATGCTTATTGAGCTCTCATGGTTTTCTTCTCTCAAGGTACTCAATCACCAAAGCCTTCAGTATCGCTTTTGTATTGACATTCTTTAGCATTTTTGATGTGCCTGTTTTTTGGCCAATTCTCGTTTTCTACTGGATCATTCTTTGCATGCTTACTCTGAGGAGACAGATTCTACACATGATAAAATACAAATACGTTCCATTTTCTGTCGGAAAGCAGGTATGGTGAAACCATCGCATGTTCTAATATTTTAGCCTCCGTATTTTGTGGATCACTTCAATTATCTATCAGTAGGTGCTGAGTCCTTAACTTTAAGCTTTATTTTTCTTTTCAGAGGTACGACAGAAAGAGTGCACCATCAGCTGATAACGAAAGGCTTCCCTCTTAGATCAATTTTGCAGGAAATCGGGGTAATTTGTTACATTTAAAGCACATGCGATTTTTGCACAGTTATCTTTCGATCCCACCTCTGAAGTTTTCTTCTCAACTTCTAGGCTAGCTTTTGAGGATGCTATCTTCAGTTATCGTAAAGTTGCAAGGGACAGCAATCGTACTGCCTTTTGTTTCCTTTGAATATATAAATAATTGCTGAAATAACATTCATATATAAGCAAGAAATTGTACACTGGTCAGAAATTTTCTCTGGAAACTTTTCTCGTGGGAAATGCCTATAGATTAGGTTTTTGTTTTGAATTCATGATATTCGGGTTTTAGAAAATTCCCTTGAAATATGAACTGATATTGGATCGTTTATCAGATGAATTCTTCTGGTCACATAAAATTGTTCAAAGTAATTGGGTGGATCCAGGTCACACCAACTTATAAATTATAGAATTTAACTCGATTACAACAAGCTCAAATCAAAACTTGATGCCTGTCCAATTCGACAAAAGCACCGTGTACAAAGAAAACCTCAAACAGACAATTCAACATTGTATCAGTATGTTTTGCAAAACGTGAACCTAGGAGTAAAGTGTACTCAAGAACTGGGTCTATAATATCCATAAATCCCGTAAAATGTTTGCGCCAAGGTCATCAGCAGCAAAAAGACAGCAGCTATGAACGAAATTATCGTCCATGGACTGTTGAAATATCTATGTTTAAGACTAGCCCTCCAAGCATTCCATCTGTGGTCATAGTATTTGTTAACTTGTTCTGACAGCCTCGAAAGATAACTATCATTCATGTCAAAAACGACTTCTTGACAAAGGCGATTGAACAATTCCGCAACTTCTGCATCACTCCCAAGCCAATGTTCAATTATTCCACAATAGTGTAAATAACTCACATCCTCAGCCGAATCAATCAAGTTATCCATGAAAATTATGTATGATGTTATGTCATTCGTGCAATCCAAATGGCATTGCTCAAATGCTATAAGATTAAGGAAGAGTGATTTAGTACCATCGTGGATTAAGAGACGAGGAATCTTAAGAATTCCTTTCTTGAACTTAATGTCCCAGAATCGATCCGTTTTGCCTTTCTTGAATTTGATCCCTGCATCTTTTAGCTCAGTGACACAATGAATCAATTGCTGTTTTCGTTTATCTGCTACTCGATTAGTGTGTGACCATTTTTTGATCCAAATTCTCGGAGTTGGTTTAGGCCCTGCGCGCATCACCAGAAGACTTCGCCTGAAAACTTCCAAACAATGTAGCCCACCTTGGTCCGTTAATGGATCAAAGGTGTTCGAGTTTCCAATAGACGACTCCAATTTGTTTCTGTCACTCTTTGTCAATGGTTCGTCCGTTGGCATTAACGGATCAAAAAACCTCAATGCCAACTTAGCCACCATCCCTTGCTGATCTGGATTTCCTATCTGAAGGCCTAATAATCGATCAAGTATTAATAGAGGGATCTGATTTTCAAGCATGATCATATCACGTAGAATTGAGTGCATTGAACCGCGCATAGCAAATATTGGATCATTTCTAGAGTAACCAAGGTGTGTAAATCCCCCAGCAACGCCACGGAAGAGCTCAAGAATGAAGCAGCCATCGAGCACCATCATTTCGACAAACTCATTGCTACCAAGTTTTATAGATCCTTCATAACAAGAACGTGCCTTTTCCTCGAGTTCTTTAACTGCATCAAGATACTGTTTTATGTCTTGATTGGTACGCTTAAGAATGTGATAAAGGGCGCGCCATTTATGGTGGTCCATGTTGCGTAGACGCCTCCTGCCATGGTGATAAGGGCCCAGCGAGACAATCTGTGGAATGTAGGCCTTGTCATCTCCTTCCCGGAGGCACTGGGGAACCTGTTTAAGACTCATAAGAAATAAGTTTGTTGTATCTCTAATAATTTAAATTTTAGATGATATTGTTCAACATTACCCTATAGATGCAGAGCTTTGCCCACGAGGCAGCTGCATCCTCTTGGTGTGCTTGATTGAGTTTTTCTTTGATGCTGATCACCCACTCGGATTCCGGTGAAGTGGGGCCCTTGGCATCTTCATCATCCTGGATTTCATCCTTGGCCTCTATTTGTAATGAATTCCATACTAGATTTTCTTGTTTTTGCAGTTCTTGGTGCGATTGTGCAGGGAACTCAATTGATCTGTTGGTGCTGGGACTTTGAGCATTCTGAAGGCCAGATTCAACTGTTTCTTTGAGCTTGAGGGTGATGAGGTACCAACTCAGAAGCTCTTTGTTGAATACAGCAACCATTTGATTTGATATATCCAAAAGCTGTTTGAATTTTGGCTATCTGAACAGATATGTTCTCTATTAGCAAAAAGTTGTTGAAAAATTCTTAAAGTAAACTTCAAGAGGTGTGTATTTATAATTACAATTGGAGTAATGAATAATTATATGAGTTGAACTTGACCTAATCCAACGGGGCAGCCCGGTGGACCCTTCTTAATTAAAGCGTAATTATAAACTCTTCACGTTTCTTCAACATTGTTTTGGTTCCTGAACTGTTGTTATCTGAAATTGAGAATTGATAGTCAATTTAACTTCAAATGACCTTAATCTGAATACTGGAACTCTGACGTTTTGGTATTTTAATCAATGGCTCAACTCATGCATAATTTTCATGAACATGCTCTTATGCCATGTTGAAAACTTAACCTGTTAAGAGAGTCGGTATTTGGAAGGCATCAGTGTCTTAGATGCGTTTGCTCACGAATCTTGAAAACTTGAACAAATCTGTCAATATTTAGTTACAGTGTGCTATTTTTAGAATAATGGCCCATGTACACTCCATGTTGTACATGGAGTTTGACATTACTTGTAAATTCTTGAAAATTCAAAAATGTATGAGCAAGAAAGTGTTTTTCATTTTAAAACTGACCATTTGTTGTGTGACAAGTGGCACAATGTCAAACTTAATGTAAAAAAAAGTGTACATTTAGCCAGATTGTTAAAGCATCTGTTTGATCCACACGTGAAAAATATTAGAAAAATTGCATATCATTTTATCAAGAAATATAAATAGTGGGGTGGGGGCCATTTGCCTGCTGGAAAAAGGAAATCGTTGGCCCATCTCAAGTGTGTGCACATTTTTTTTCCAGTCATGGAAGTTTCATCTCTCGTGCTAAGTCCCAACTCCCAACTCCCTCCACCAGCTCAGTTTTCCTGTCATATTCAAACTTCAAACATCTTTATGAAATAATTAAATAAATAATCTTACTGTAAGCAATTTTATATGTAAGTCCTAGTCTAAGAAATATGAGTAACATTTCACATTTAGCCTCCTCTATATCAAAGCCAGAGCTTAAATCCAGATTTTAGCCTATTTTATTCAAAAGTTAGGTTGTTAGTACAGTATGACCATAAGATAACAAAATGGAATTTGGTTAATATGTCTTCCATAGATAAAAAAGATTTTGATGCATACTGAAATTCCAACCGATCAAACTGTAAGCAAAAACTAAGTTAAATAGAATCCACCTACTAAAATACGACAACAAACTAAGCCCATTCCCAATAAATTTTGGGTTGATATTAGAATTCTTCCTTGGCCGTGAGAAGATGATTAAATGCTTGCATGAACTAGATTAGATTTGTTCTTTGTTGGATATGAAGGTTCAATTGCAATACCACACATTCCAGCACGAAAAGCCAATACATTACGCTGGATTCTGATTTATAAATTTCCACCCCATTTTGATCCCCATGAGTTCCTTACAACCCAATAATCGAGCCTGTTTTCTGTGCCACAGCCAACAACTACGACACCATGGTCCAAATCTGTCCCGCATAGATCGGTAAATATACCCTGAGAAAAGCATGTTTATACATAGTATTTGATAATACTACACAATACGTTTGCTTATTTAATCTAGCTGATATTCACCAAACTGCCTCACTTTTAGTCTCAATTTCATTAGAACAAGAAAGCAAATAGTGATACGTGATACTGCTGTACAATGCACATCGTGCGCACACATGAACAGAGAGAATAGGTTAATTACTGACGAGTAGGGCAGGAAAGCTCGTCCGGAGGCTTCAATAGCAACATTCACTGGTTGATGTGCCACGGCATTCTGCAATGCTTTCTCATTTCCGGGGTGGTACATCTTCATAACCATCTATGCTAGCAGCCTTGGCATTTTTCTGCATCACAAACGTATACAAGAATTCACAAACCAGGTCGTGTCTATACATTATAGTGTCATATGATTTGATAATTACCTCGAAAAACACTAGCCCGGGCAGGATCACATCTACCATCAATACCCCTGTAGGGGTAATCATCTTCAGTGTCAATCAATGCCACCACTGGCTATAATGAATTGGAAGGCATAGACCATTAGACCTTCATTGCACCCAGAATTTTTGATTCTGTCACGGTCTACTTCTTGTTCTGATGGAGGGACAAGTTCCCCCTGTAACTATCTGGTTTATGCTTTCAACGGCAGCAACAGTTGAGAAAGCCCAACTACTTACTGATTCACGAACAACATAAATTTATTGTCTTGTAAGTCAATTTTAAGGCTAATTTTTTTTTCTCTTGATCTTTTTGCTTTTGGCTCTTAATAAATAAGATTCCAAACGTGAAGATTTTGAATCTTGAAGCAGAGCATGAAAAACAGACTTGAAAAAATGCAGTGAAAAAAAGGATGGGAAGATAACCTCACCACAACTTGATTTCTAACCGGAGCAACGGCTCCTTTCTTTCTCCAACCAACAAATTCCGCCAACCCGAATAGCATAACGCTGGCTAGCTATTTTTGATTTCACAAACCTCGTACCCAAGAACATGGACCTGTACTCTTTATTAGTCAGATCAGCAAACTGGTTCAATCCCACCTTGTATGTTCGATTCTCCGAGTTATGTTCATCAATAAACATAATATTATCCTTGAAAATTTGAAATCTTTTGTCCTTCTCTTCCAAACCATTGTATACTTTGTCATGCCTTGCTAGCCACCATTCGTACAAGCCCTTCACTTCTTGGACGCTTTTCCATGATGTGTTTATTGTCATAATCTATGATCGACATGTCTATTACATGTGACCAAGACGCGAATAAGAGGAAAAGAAAGGTGATCATGGGCATGGCTATGGCTATGGCTTAGAAATGGAGATGAGATCTCTATAGGAATCTAAGCCCACGAGGAAGAATTGTTAGATTGCTTAGGCTTGAAGAAGTTGTCCAATGAGATCCAGAGAGACCAGATCCATAGGATGTCATGTATGGAATCGGCCTAGACCACGATCGATGCCAATAGTAATCAAAATACTCAAATGGTTACGAATAATTATCAAATAATTGATAAAAATATATTTTTTATCTTTACCATGTTTGAACGATTGTCAACCACTAGATCCGTTGGTCTGCAATATTCAACCCGATCCACAAGCACAAATCCTCGGTGCGGAATATGGGGAGAAGGGTGGGGATTCTAACACCTATTGCCAAGTTAAGTTTACAAGGATAATATTCCTACGTGCTTGTCAACCGTGACAATCATATTTGTAGAGATGTGCAAGTTTGTCACTGGAATAGTTTGTGCAATTAAAGCAAGTAACGATTCTGCGACACAATAATATAAGCCCCTGTTTGAGCCCCATTAATTTTCATTATATTACACATTATTTTTCTTTCTCCTATTTTCAACCACACAATCTTCCATAAAATAATATTACACGTAAATCGAAAAATTTCCCTTCTTTTTCAACCATTCATTTTTCAAAAAAATACTATTACACCCATTAATTTTTCCACGTAATGAAGGCCAAACAAGGGCTAAATAATCACATGAATTTATTTAGAATTTATCTTCAACTATTCAACCTGTCATCTCATTCCGGAGGAAATCATATTCTTAAATAAAATTTGACATGCCCATGGTTTGTTAATAGCCTCCATCTAGAAATTTGAATTTTTAGAGGAGTTACGTGTATTCAATAAAGTTTTATCTCTAATAAGCAAATTGAGTAATGGTCAGAAAACACGAGATGTACACTATAATAATTCAAGTTGAAAGCCTGCTTCTTTTCACGACTTCTCTGAATATGCAGTGAGAATTATATTTCTCCAGTGCTCCTTCCCTAGCAGTTTTTTAGTAAAATACACAAGTAAAGAGACAAATTTATGGTGATTCATGGGAACAGCTTGTCCATTTACCACCGTAGTTTTCGTAATAAAGTCTGTGAATTATACAGTATGATTAGACTCCACACAATCCAGTTCTTCAAGTTAATTATAAGCAAATTGATTGATCAAAGGTAGACCCTCTCAAGGACTTTAGGAGCTCCAATATCTGTGGTGCTATTTCTATTGTTGCTGAAATGACTCGATACAATTTACAAGCTCTCTATGATATCCAACAGCAGAATAGAACTTCGATTTCTATTTTTGAAAAGTTACGTATGACAGTGAATACATGTTTCAGCCAACCAGCAGCTGCAACAGGGCTAGGTCGTAGTGAAACTCTACCACAACACCAGCATACTGAAAAGACAATCTGAAAATTAGATGTAACAAAATTAAGACGCATATTTATCGACCAGCTAGGTATATGGAACATATGCCTCTATTTACACGACTAAAA